TCCAGCTGTTAATACTTCGATCAAGATTGATGTCCCCGTTGGACAATCGATAACTGTCAATGACTCTAAGGCCCGCTTGAAGTGTGGTAGACTCATTAGTTTCAAAGATCAAGATCCTAAAAAAAAGAAAAGGAGCTAGAATCTAGATGGTCAAGTCGAGGAAAAGGAAACTCTAGAAGAAATGTTGGACACAACTAAAGTCTCAGTTCTAAATAAGACATAGTTACCTGAAATAGGTGAACATATTGATATCTCAATAAATTATATTATAGATGGAATTCGATGGGATAAAAATTGAAGTCAATGTTGACGACAATTTAGCATATAATATAGCTTAATGTTATGAATGACAATGAGAATCAAGAACCAAAGTCTATTAGGAAATGCAGACAAAGAAATGACTAGCCAAAATGGAAAGATGCAATGGAGATCGAATTAAAATCTCTTGAAAAACGAAAAGTTTTTTGACCTGTAGTATGCACACCTAAAGATGTGAAACCTGTTAGGTATAAATGGGTCTTTGTACGAAAGCAAAACGAAAGAGATGAGATTGTAAGATATAACGCACAACTCATTGACATTGATTTTGATCAAACATACTCACCTGTGGTGGATGCAACTACCTTTTGTTACTTGATTAGTTTGGTAGCGTGACAGAGATTTGATTTGCGTCTAATGGACATTGTTATAGCTTACTTATATGGCTCTCTTGATAATGATATTTACATGAAAATTCCAAAAGGATTCCAATTGCAAACAATTAAGATTCTCAAGAACAATACCCAATCAAGCTAAATAAATCCCTTTATGGGTTGAAACAATCTAGGCACATATGGTATAATTGTAATGTTCGTCTTGACATTATCAGGACAACACTCACACATCGTTGATAACTACGATTAAATAAAATCCTATAAAGAAGTTACCACAACTCAAGGGCTTAAAGATAATTAGTTTAAAACATTGAGATCCTAAAAAAACTCTTTTTAAAATATTGTTTGAGCTCAAACCATGGTTAAAAATCAATTAATAGCAAATATGGAAGCATGAAAAACAAACCACATCAAAATTAGGCTAAAACGCCATTCTTCTGCAAATTCTAGTCTATCTGTCGTGGTGTAAGCCTCGCCCGCCACGGTGGATGGCACAAAGGGACGAGTCCCTTAAAGGCCCCACACGCTGCGGTGCGCACCTACTATCATGACAATAGATTGCTATCATGACAACCCTCCGGACTTCTGGAGTGCCCCGTCTCACCATCCAACATCCGATTTGAGCGGTTTAAGTGTCTACACGAAGCTCTTTGAGCCCTCTAGCTAATGGCGCCAGTCTCACACTCAAGTAACCATCTGTTTAAAAAATGAACACCCGAATTCAAAATGGTTCATTTCACCTCAAAACACACACAAAGGTGTCTAACTCACAATACCAAATGCCATTAGCCCCAGAGACACTTTGATCACCTTAAATGGACCACACACAACATGATAATTTATTCATATTATACAAACAAGCAGTCACACTCAAAATAATCACTAAACTCCCTATTTGGTAATAACATAAAGGGATGGATTGTAATTAGTACACACATCAACTTGGTCATTTTAGGCACATAATTCACTTCCATTTCATCACTTGTAATTGTAACTTGGCCCAACACACACATAATCCACACATCATCCTTGGACCGAGATACGCACATTATAGCAAATCTATACAGGTGATATCTAAAATAATGTCATGTACCTAAGTTGGCATTATATATATTAACAATATTCGTTACAATACCCAAAGAAGAAAGGAAAGAGTTATACAATGACGCTCTTCACTCTTCAAATGCCCCTTATTTTTCGTTGCTCCTACTGGAGCCCTCACTTACAAAATATAACCACGGGATGAGATAAACATCTTATTAATCAATATAGTTCATTAAATGTTTATTATCACAAATAACCATGATAAAGTATCAAAACTATAGTAATAACAAGTATACTATATTTATGAGATAAGTGTATCTTTTCACAACAAATCCATATAATTTCACACTAGCATGATCATCTAACCACCGAACCTCCAATGCTCCCCGACATGAAACTGTAAGCTCTTCTAGATCAATAACTTATTGTCCTGAGTACACTTTCAGTGGTAGAAATACCCGGCTAAAGGTAATTTAACCCAACTATAAATTATGGTTTTTCTCTCTTCATACACTTGTGATAGAAGCGTTGTTGACTCCTAACCACACCCTAACGGGTATTAAAGAGTTGCCAGACTGCCCGGATATCCCATAGTAACAGTCCCATATAATGCTGCACCGGATGTCCCATGGTGCCAACCTGACCATCTAGATTTTTCACTCACATATCTCCACACACACACACACACACACACATCCCTTATATATATCGGGTGAACTCTTACCCCCTATGATCATGTTCTTTCACAATTTCCATATCACAAATTTATATATATTAGTATATACATATCATTTAAAATCAATAACCTTTTACAAATCAAATTTTCATGCTAAAATCATTTACAATATCAAATTATGCACAAAACTCTTCAAAACCACAACTTTATCATTTATATTTACTTATACATAGTTATAATAGTTAATAAACACAATAAATTATATGGTTACCTCAACCGTTTATCACACAAAAAGGGTTAGCATGGCTTAACGTTAGCTCCACACGTTCTATACACACAATAAAGCTTGAGCAATGCTCAATCTACACAATCAAGTGACAATCATTAATTATCACTCCGGTTAACTCCGAATTCACTAGGTTTTAAGTGCCTATAACATCCAATTTCCTTTTCTCACAACATCAACCATTCCCAAACACTCTAACCATCCTATTAAACATCCTAACACACCAAATTCGCTAATCAATGTCCCACATTGTCTCAAAATCCTTAAATTATACTTAAGGTTCGTCCATACCCTTACTAAAAATTCTTGATCGCCACAAAACTCATAAACTTAGAGTTAGAGGCTTGATTTAACTCTCCAAGACCTTAAATAAACTAATGGGTTTGGTTAAAACCTAAGGGAACCGAAATCAAAGCCCCCATTACCCCAAATGTCTGGATTTTTTGCATAATTAGGTAGAAGAGGAAATGTGCAACTTACTCAACGGTTATTCAAGCTCCAAATGCCTCCAAAGTAGCCTAGAGATTGTGCCCTAGCAGACCACAAGCTCTTCTCCATCGCTCTCTCGTTATCCTTCTTTCTTCCTTCTATTTCTAATCTATTTTTTTGCATATGATAAGTACAGATTTCGCACGTGCGCCGTGGCTCATTGACACACCTATCGTGGTGCATGGCATAAAAAATTCCACAAAATTTTAAACTCCCTTTTGTGCCATGGCTCGCTTGAATATCAACCTAACCCTCTTCTAAGGCTGTCTAAGGATTCAAAAACCATATTAGTCTCCCATAAACCTCGCTAAATCAACAATTTATCTAAATTGACCAAATTACCCTTGAAAACACTAATAATTACTAATGGGGAAACTTAAGATGTTACAATAATCGCCTTAGTGAATACTTGATAAAGTAAGGATATAAGAATGGTCCTATTTGTCTATGCATTTTCCTAAAAAGATCTAAAAAAGGATATGTAATAATCACAGTTTACGTTGATGACATAAATATTATTGTAACTCTCGTAGAGATTCCAACAGCTATGAATTGCTTGAAGAAAAAATTTGAAATGAAGGATTTAGGAAAGACAAAATTTTGCCTTGGATTACAAATTGAATATTTAAATGGTGGAATTTTTGTGTACCAAGAAGCATATATAAAACATGTCCTAAAGCGATTTTATATGGACAAAGCACATCCTTTAAGCACTCCAATGGTTGTTAGATCTTTGGATAAGGACAAAGATCCTTTTAGGCCTCAAGGAGAGGATGAAGAATTACTTAGTCCAAAAGTACCACATCTTAGTGCCATTTGAACACTAATGTATCTTGCTAGTCATACACGACCTGATATATCATTTGATGTTAATATATTAGCAAGGTATAGTTCTTCACCAACACAAACACATTGGAATGGAGTTAAACATATTCTACATTACCTTCAAGGTACTATGGATATGGGTTTATTATATTCTAATAAAATCAAGTAGGATTTAATGGGCTATGCAGATGCAGGATTCATGTCAGATCCTCATAATGGTCAATCTCAAACGGGCTGCTTGTTTACTTGTGGTGGCATCACTATTTCGTGGCGATCTATGAAACAGACAATAGTAGCTGCATCTTCTAATCATGCATAAATTTTAGCAATGCATGAAGCAAGCGAGAATGCATTTGGTTAAGATTTGTGATCTATCACATCCAAATTACCTATGCTCTTTTTTCTAGAAAAGTGATCCCAATAATATATGTGAAGATAATGCTGCATGTGTTGCCCAGTCGAGAGAAGGATATATTAAAGGAGACAGAACAAAGCATCTCTCGCTAAAATTCTTCTTCACACATGATATTTAGAAAAATGGAGAAATCCAAATTAAACAAGTTTGTTCTAGTAATAATCTAGCAGACTTGTTGACCAAGCACTTCCTACTTCAACTTTTGAGAAGCTTGTATACAACATCGGGTTCGCAAGCTGAGAAATATTAAGTGATATTGTCATTAGGGAGAGTAAAAGTTATGTTGCACTCTTTTTTGTTTTTTTTTTAACCAAAGTTTTGTTTCATTGGGTTTTTTTGATAAGATTTTAATGAGGCACAATATCTGAACATCCAATAGGGAGTGTTATGCATATTAAGATATTATGTGGATGTCCATTATCTTAAATTCTCCAATATCTTTTGATCACTATAATATCTTTCAGTTATTATTATCTTATATATTTCATTTACTTTAATTAATATATTTATATTTATAAATAAAAAGCATTTCAATTATATTCGACATATTGAAACAAAAGAAGCTTTCGATTCTCTTATTCTTTTGTATGGGGATTTTTTCACCTCTTTTACCCTCAGTCTCTATTTCATGACACAACCGATCATGCCTTTTCTCCCGGTTGTTCAATTTTGATTTCCTTCGCCAAGCAGCGCTTCAACGTCTCCGCGAAGTCCCAACTACCACAGGCTGAGCAAATAGGGAAGGACGACCCACATTTTGAGCAGAACCAAGCGGGATTTGGGAGAAGGTAACACAAAAGCTTCGACCAAAATGGTAACAAAGAGTATAAGCGAATTGCAAGTGCGAGATTTCGTGCAAGCTGGTCTAACAATAGAGGAAGCTCAGAGATTTGACCAAGTTTTGAAGGAATCAATCCTTCAAAGGGTCGAATGGTCTGACCCACGAGAGCTCTGGCGCGAGCTTGTGGCTCGAAGAGTGCTAAAGCCATGGCACCCACACTCCCTGCATCAGCTTGTGTACTATTCTGTCTATGCACATTGGGATGCCTCCACTAAAGGCCCACCGCTTTATTGGTTCCCTTCTTTGTAAGTGATTCGCTTTATCATTCTGCTAGGATTTGCATAGTCTGATAAATGTAATATTCTTGGGTGTGAGGGGCTGTCTTTATTCGTTTTAATTAGTTGCTTTTGGAATCTGCATAAAGTACTTGGATGGATTCTCGATGTTGACTGTCATTTCATTTTGCCTTTGTTATGTCTTCGAAGTTTGTGGATGAAATATGTCAAACTGATTCAATTAGGTAACTTTCTGGTTGGCTACATTTCTAGATGGCACGCAAGACGGACAAATTTGGGACGTATAATGGAAATCTATGGTCCAAAGCTTTTGGGAGCAGCATACAAAGATCCTATAACTAGTTTTAATCTCTTTCAGAAATTTTCAGTCCAGCACCCTGAGGTAAGTAGGGATTGTGTTAGTTATTTTAAAACTCGTGCAAGTCCTTATTTCAATTTCGCTCAGTGCATTGAAACACAGCTTTTGTAGTAAGTGCATTAACATCTATTAATCAATGTCAGGTATACTGGTCGATTGTTCTGAAGGAGATCTCAGTATCGTTTATTGAGGCTCCTAAGTGTATCTTAGATGCTTCTGATAAATCAAAACATGGTGGAACTTGGCTTCCAGGTTCAGTCTTGAATATTGCAGAGTGTTGTTTGTTACCTCAGGATCATCTAAAGAAAGACGATGGCAGTGTGGCCATTGTATGGAGAGATGAAGGGTTTGATGATTCCAAAGTCAATCAGATGACACTGAAAGAGCTACGACGACAAGTAATGTATGCTCTTACTTAGCTATCGGTAGCTAAAATACTGTTGGTAATTTATTTGGACAAAATTTATGATAATTGATTTATTTAGGTGACAATTATGGTCTGAGCTTATTTTTTGTTTAATAACTCTGATGGATAGAGTTAGTTATGGTTATTTACTTGTCACTCTTCTGCATAGACACAAAATCCTGAATAATTTAGGGATATGTACCAGAATCTGACTCCTGTAGTTATTACCTGCTATAGGTATCTTCTTTCTATCTGTTCATAACCTTCAAATGTTCGTCAAAAAATCAAAACTATTTTATCCAGGATAAAGAGCTTCCTATACTATAAATATAAAGAAGATAAATGTCCATGGTTGTTTGTTTGCTTTTCATAAAAATTGCCAACTAGAATTTCTTATGTTACCTTCGTCCTAGCATTTTTGGTTCTGCACCATGTCCTCTGAATTATAGTCCTGAAATTTTGACGAAAATGATAGCAACTACAATTTTTTTTTTTGGAAATGATTTAATCAATACTTGTATATTCCAGTATTCTGTGATTTTCCTTTCAACTTTCTATATTTTTAAGCATCTGCCGCAAAACCATTTTATTTCATTGTAATTGTTAGGGCAAATAATCATTGTACTGATAAAAATTATTGTTCAATAATAATATGGAGTCTGTTTTCTCTAGTTCTGTATATATTTCTTTGTGGTATTATATGTGTTCTGTAGATGAAAATGTGAAATAAATTGTGACATCTACTGTGTCATTAAATTTCTACCATTGAAAGCAAAATTGTCAGTTACATTATTCATTGAAACTGGACACTTTAATTTAGGAATATTCAAGCATCATTTAGTTTTTGTTTTCTTTCATAATTTCCCCCCTTGTATTCATCCTATGGGTCTTTCTCTTTTCGGATTTCATGCTCACATCTGCTTTCAATTTATAATGTCTTATCTGCTCCCTGTATTGAGCTCTGTGTGTGTGTGTTTTTTTTTCCCCCAATCTTCATCGAAATTATTTCCAGGATGGTAGCAAATGTGATAGCTGCTAAGTTCTCAAAGGGTGATGCCATTGCAATTGACATGCAAATGACAGTCAATGCTGTTATAATATACTTGGCCATTATTGTAGCAGGATGTGTTGTGGTATCAATAGCTGATAGCTTTGCACCAAAGGAAATTGCGGTTCGTTTGCGTGTGTCTAAAGCAAAGGGTATCTTTACGCAGGTTACCTCTCAATTTGAAACCATGCCATTTATAGTAAAATTTGCTGCTAATGCAGATGAGACAGCTTGATGTTTGGAATTATTTCTCTTTCTTGGAGACAAAAAGCATGCTTTTTGATAATCAACAGAAAAAAGCCTCCTCTTCCCTGTGGCCCCTCATTTTGCCTCTCATTTCTAGCTGTTTCCAGAACCTCTCCCTGTGCAGTAGAATGGTCTATAGCATCTAAAAGTATTCTGGGGATCAGTACCGTAGGACTCATTTCCACTAGTCACCATAGCTGAAAGGATGCAACCATGAGAAGAGAGGTTCCATTAGAGTGACAACGACAGTTTTACTAGTTTCTTTCCCCTCTAGGCTATGACACTGTATGAAAAAGGAGTTAGATAAATCAGCCCTCCATTGGTGGATATAGTTAGTTCTTTAATTTTTTTTTTCTTTTATCAGTTTTCCACAAAATGATGGTGAAAATACATAGAAGGTTATATTGGATGCTCGTCTGTTTTTTCCCTTAGTCGCCACTTGTATATTGTTAGCATTCAATTGCAAGGGATGAGACTTGAGTCTCACATTTAAATTATGGGATTATTTTCATGAGGGGTTTATATGGGTCTTGGGCCCTCGAACCTTTTGAGCTAGCTAAAAGTGTGTAGTTCTACCAAAAGGTTCCTATCATATTTATGAGAAGATTGGAGGAGATAAGACTATTATTCCCAGCATACCAATAAAATAATCAATCTATTACTTGATTTTAGTCCTTAGAAGGATTGTAGAGCCTTTAAGATAATGCAGTTTCTTCTTTATTTTGTCCTTCATTTTATCATATTTTATCTAATCTTGGATTCTTTATCAACCTTCAATGTACAGCTTTTCTTTGTTTATAAAAATCGGCTTTTTATCATAAAATAAAATTCTTGACTGGTGAACTCAATTATTTTGGATCATGAAAGGAATGTAAAAGAAGCATCCATGCAATAAACACAATTTTTATTTTCAAACTAATTTGACTGTTACATTCTAGATATTAAGTACTCTCGATTTGTACTTGGAAATACCATCTATGTTTCAATTTGTCTTCAGGATTTCATATCAAGAGGTGGCCGGAAATTCCCTTTGTACAGGTAAAGATTTTTCCATTATACTTCATTGTGGTTTCTTGGAATTCATGATTTGAACAATAAAATCATATCACATAAGGTTCACTAGAATGAATAATGATGTTTGTGTATACTATCCTTTTACAATCACAAAATAGAAACCAATTTTCTTCATGTTTGTATCTTTTGTTTGATAGATTTAAGTCTGCTGATTTTTACAAACAAATTAACAGAAGAATCTTCTGCTTTTTTCTCCTTGCAGTCGAGTCATTGAGGCAGCAACTTGTAAAGCTATTGTACTTCCTGTGTTAGGTGATGAAATTGGAGTGCAATTAAGGGAACAGGACCAGTCATGGAAAGATTTTCTCTCTCCTTGCAGTCAGCATCCCAGGTATGTTTATTGCAACATGTTTATTATACTTTATGGTTTAATCAAAATGTGATCTCTGCGAACAAAAGGAATCACTGTTAAAGATAATATGAATAAAATAGAGATGTTACATTGCTTTTGTGTTTTGTCTTACCTGAACATCAACTATTGTCAGGTCAAATCATTACTCTCCAGTTCCAGTCTATCAATCAATTGAGTCTGTCACTAACATACTCTTCTCATCAGGAACCACTGGTAAAGATTCTACCCAAGCACGCAACAATGTGAGAATGGCGTTATTACGAATTTTCTGATTGTCTTTTTGTTTTCAATAGGAGAACCAAAAGCTATTCCATGGACTCAGCTTTCACCTCTTCGAAGTGCTGCTGATGGATGGGCTCTCATTGATATTCAAGTTGGGGATACTTACTGCTGGCCCACAAATTTAGGTTGGGTAATGGGACCAACTCTAATCTATTCATGCTTTCTGTCAGGGGCAACTCTTGCTCTTTACCATGGATCTCCTCTAGGTCATGGCTTTGGAAAATTTGTTCAGGTGATTCCTTCAACTCTAATGTTACATAGCATATGCACTATATTCAGAAATAGATCCGTTGATTTAGAAGCCTTTTTGCTTGAAAATAATTTCATTGACTGATTTCCAATGTACACGGTATGGTAATTTATGCAGCAAAGTTTTTTACAATAAATGCAAGATTCCCTTGTAGAGAGGAATCAAGGAATGAATAATTCTTATTGAATTATCAAAGGAGATATATGATCGCTTTCACAAGTGCATAAGATCAATGTAGTAATAAATCCTGGAGTATTCTAGGAGTTGAACTCAGAAGAAAGTGATATTTGTTATTTAAGGAAACAAATAAGATTTTTGAAAAGAATTTAATAACTAATTATGCAAATCAATAAGAAAATCAACAAAAGTGATGAGAACAATAGACCAACCAATCAAACGAACGTTGGGAATCAGGATTCACCTATTAGGATAGATTATTCTAATTCAGTTAATTATCTTCCTTTATCTATAGTGACAACCGTTTCTGAGGTGTCCTAATTATCTTCTAATATATTAGGATGTATTTAATTAGAGTTAAATTTAACTCTCACTAAATTCTACTCTTTAACTAAATTGTGAAACTATGATCTAAGCCACCACAGATTTCTAAATTATTCCTAATTTAGTTATTTGCATCTATTTCTCTAGGTCTAGTTAAGTTTTTCACATTTTAGTTCATCAAACTATCCACAAACAATCTATATAATGTTTGTCTGTATAAAATGTAATTAAAATGAGAGATAAATGCAAAGCAAACAAATAAATCTTAGACGAAATTCAATGTTTAACAAGAAAAATAAAAAAAACTAAATAAAAAACAAAAATTCATTCCAACTAGGCTACTTCCTATTATGACAGGAAGTTTACTAAGAACCCATAAAGTTAAAACCATAATCTCAAATAAAAGATAAAAGGAATCTAAAGAAGAAAAAAAGAGAGAAAGCTCTCAATTTGGAAGAATTTGCCTCCTAACTTTGAGATATGAGATTGGATGTGTTGACAGACTTTTGAGAGGTTTTTTTATATTCAATTCGACCTCCTTGGATTTAGAATCTGTCCAGATCATGCCTTATCTTATCTAATATATTGATATCTTGTTTAAAATATTTTAAAATATTAATTTTTGCCTCTATTCCTTCGTTTGCACCCGGTCAGGCTTAGCATTGCCATGTCCAGTGTGCAGTAGAAAAATTCGTCCACAAGCGGATGAAATATATACATTCTTGTTTTCAACCGGATGAATTGAGGACATGTAGAATCACTAGTGTGAGTTATGTCCGTGAGTGGAGATAGCCTTCACAAGTTTGTTTGCAACCGGTTGAACTCTTTTTGGCTTGATTCCTTGGTCATTGACTCTGGGCTTCGCGTTTTAAGGTTTTTTTTTCCCATGCTATTTTGTCTCCTTTTATGAAAATACACCAAAATTTCTAAATGAGATATTTTATCTTTAAATCACACATTAATTAGTTGAAATAAGAGCATAAATTATGTATAAATCTACTTAAAATACCTTCTTATCAAACTCCCTCATACTTAGGCTATTGCTTGTCCTCAAGCAAATACTTCTATGCTCAGCCTTATTCCTTATAGGAGTACACTAAATATAGGGCTTTTGCTCAGAGCGTAGTAAAATTTAATAGTATAACTAACCTACTGAGTTTCAATGTGAGAGAGAAAGTCAATAATTCTGGTGAATTTAGTTCTTATTGATCAAGCACTTACCTGTAGAATGAGTTTGTCTATACCTTTGGGCTTTACTTGTTTCTTTTTCTAAGCTAACATAATGGTATCATCCTTCTTAGCTATTCATGAATTGCCTTTTTTCCTAAGATAATCCTTAGGTCCTTTTGATACGATCTCTCGTATTGGTGATACAAGGGCTCGGTTACTCATATTTGTGAAGCCTTTAGCACACTCTTGACACCTACTAAGCTATTTCATGTGAAGATCAACACTGATGATGAAGGACCTTGGTTATTAGGCCTAGTTGGCATTAGCGGAGTGGATAATTGGCATTTGTTGCGCACACACATTTTTCTTTTGTACAGTATCATTCCCTTTTTTAACTACTTTGCTAGGTGTTAGCTTTCTAGGTATAGACATGAATAAGTACAACAGGTAAATAGTGCCATAATCTTGATTTTTGATTAATTCCCATGGAGTCTTGGTAGTCTTAAATTCTTTCTTCAAACACATAGTTGCCCTTAATAGTTATACAACTAAATCAAATAGCGTACAAAACAAAAATTCAAAAAAAAAAAAATTCATGAATAATGCCAATTACAGTATATAAATTGCTAAGGAAATTATAGCAAACTAAGCGAGAGGGAGCTATCATGATAGATCCTCCCCCACACTTAAACTTTCAGAGTCCTCGTTGTAAAATTAATAAAATCAAAACAAGAGAAGAGGGTAGGAAACTAATACTTCCTTGAATTAAGCACAAGATTGAGTGATTGTAGCCCTTCATGTGAATTCTCTTCATCTGTTAAGTCTAATTAAATAGGATTGCTAAAAACAAAATGCAAAAAATATAAAGAAATTCAAAACTAAAAAGAAACTGCTAATGAAAGAATTTGGAAAAATTGGGGTTATCTCCCAATAAGCTCTATATTTAATGTCCTTAGCTAGACATTCTGCTTCAAGTGTCAGGAGGCACCATCCAAGGGTGAGAGGGGCACTTGCTCCTGTGAGCTGTAGATATATCCTTAAATATTGAGTTTAGTAGACTAAGCAAATTGAAAAATTAGCTCTCCCTTATGAACATTAATCATAACACCTCTAGTAGCAGGTGTTAGCTTTCTAGGTATAGACATGAATAAGTACAACAGGTAAATAGTGCCATAATCTTGATTTTTGATTAATTCCCATGGAGTCTTGGTAGTCTTAAATTCTTCTTCAAACACATAGTTGCCCTTAATAGTTATACAACTAAATCAAATAGCGTACAAAAAAAAAAATTCAAAAAAAAAAAATTCATGAATAATGCCAATACACAGTATAAATAATTGCTAAGGAAATTATAGCAAACTAAGCGAGAGGGAGCTATCATGATAGATCCTCCGCCACACTTAAACTTTCAGAGTCCTCGTTGTAAAATTAATAAAATCAAAACAAGAGAAGAGGGTAGGAAACTAATACTTCCTTGAATTAAGCACAAGATTGAGTGATCGTAGCCCTTCATGTGAATTGAATTCTCTTCATCTGTTAAGTCTAATTAAATGGGATTGCTAAAAACAAAATGCAAAAAATATAAAGAAATTCAAAACTAAAAAGAAACTGCTAATGAAAGAATTTGGAAAAATTGGGGTTATCTCCCAATAAGCTCTATTTTAATGTCCTTAGCTAGACATCGCTTCGCTTCTTCAAGTGTCAGGAGGCACACATCCAAGGTGAGAGGGGCACTTGCTCCTGTGAGCTGTAGATATTATCCTTAAATATTGAGTTTAGTAGACTAAGGCAAATTTACTTGAAAAATTAGCTCTCCCTTATGAACATTAATAATCATAACACCTCTAGTAGCAAAAAATGGCCTCCCCATGATGAGAGAAAAATTCCATGTCATCTTCCAAATTTAAAAAACAAGGGCTAAAGTGCATTTTTTTTTCTTTTCTTCAAGGAATGCTGGAAATGGCGCATTTTTTCTCCTAAATTATTTTTCAGAGGAGCAAAAATTCCTCTCCATTAGTGATTTGTTAATGGAGGGGGATTTTTGCTCTTCTAGAAAATGGTTTAAGGGGAAAAATGCCCCACTTATTAGTACAGGGTATCTAGTGTTCCTCAAAGGAAAGTATAGGGGTAAAAAATATACTTTAACCTAAAAGTAAATATTAGTGATCACTTTAGTTTAAGTAATGACTACTTTTCTTTTGGCAATGACCATAACGAAGCAAGTAATTTGGGGAAGTTGTAATTGCTTGTCTCATTTTAAATTATTGCCAGAAGAACAGTAGTTATTATTTAAACTAAAGTAGTCATAGATATTGTAACACTTGGACTTCGGTGAATCAAAAATTTGCATAAGGAAAATTGTAATTGGTTGTTTCATTCTAGTCATTACCAAAAGAAAATTAGTTATTGTTTAAACTAAAGTAGTCACTAATATTTATTTTTTTTAATTTTAAACTAGAATTATTTTAGTTATTTATTTACAAAAAATTATTAATGTCTAAGAAGTCCCTTGGGACTTGAGAAGAATCATGACATTTGTAAAATCTCATTGTCATATGTATATTTCAAGTGGTAAAGTGCATTGTTTGCCTTGTATTTTCCTTCAAGGAGGGTTAGGCATCCTGTACTAGTAAGTGGAGTATTTTCACTCCTAAACCATTTTTCAGAGGAGCAAAATTCCCCTTCCATTGTAAAGTTTGCACATAAGTAAACGTCACCGACTTTTACTAGGACATTCTCAACAACTCCAAGTGGATAATGCAGCGATTTATCTACCATCTACAGGGTGACATTGGTGGGCTTCAAGTTAGAGATTCCATGCATCCAACACATAGATAAAGGCATAAGATTATAGAAGAATGCAAACCACACAAGCATTTATCAACTTTTAAGTTACTTATCATACAAGGAATAGAAAAACTCCCTAGATTTTTGGAACTTGGGGGGTAACTTTTGTTGAACTACACAGCATTGCATTCTTTCGTGAGGGCTATAGTTTTAAATTCTTGAAGTCTCTTTTATTCGAGACAAGTTCCTTCATGTAGTTTTAGCCAAAGCTTCCACAAAAGGGATGTTGACTTGAAGTTTCTTGAACAAGTCAAGAAACTTATTGAAGTTTGCATCATGTTTTCGTTTCTTGAGAGCTTGAGGGAAATGAATAGGAGGTACGAAAGGCTTCATGTTACTGGGGGTGGTGTTCTCTTTATGATCACTAACCTTTATTGGCGAACTAGCCTCTTCTCCTAATGGTGGGTCCTCCTTTGTGACATGCTTTGGAGGGACTAGGTGCTCCAATTGTTTGTCACTTCTTAATGTAATGGCAACAACCCTTTGTTTAGGGTTGACTTCAGCATTACTTGGTAATTGACTTTGTGGACGTTCGGATAATATGTTAGATACTTGGCTCGTTTGGGTCTCCAAGTTTTTGATGGTAGCTTGATTTTGTATCTCTAGGCTTTAAATGGTGGCTTGATGTTGTGCCTCTATGTTTTTAAGTGCAATCTCAATGGTGGATTGTGCAGTCATCCAAGTTGTATATAGCTTGGACGTCATACCCTCTAATCTATTGAGCTTTTCATCAATGCTGGAGGGTTGTTGGGGGTAGAGCTAGAGGTTGTTCAAAGTTCATTGGTTTGGTGTCTTTTTTAGTCCTCCACTGAAAGTTTGGGAGGTCCTTCCAACCCTCGTTGTATGTGTTTTCCAAAGGGGTTGTGAGGTCTTCCCTAACTCTTTTGGTTCTGATTGGCTTCCAGAAAGTGAGTTTGCAACCTGATTGCCATAATTACCCTACAAGGAAGTATAAGATACACCAGCAGAATTAATAGGAGTAGAAGAATTAGAAGGAATACATTACCAATTAAGTTACAAATATTCCAGTTAAGGTTCTCTAATTGTGTAGCTATAAAATTTTGACCCCTTCAGGTTCAGTTTCTTCGAGTCCAGCATCTTCAAGGGGGGCATGATTTCCTCACCCTCTTTTATGATCTCTATTAGCAAGAAAGCCCTTTTGCAGCGATGCCCAGGCCTAAAATTGTTGCCACATCGAAAGTATAGTCCTTTCTCCCTCCTCCTTTGATGTTTGACATCCATGGGCTGAGTTCTTGGTGATGCCAAGTTCACTGGTCTTGGAACAGAGGGAGATGACGTCGCCTTCTTATATGCATTCCTAGAATGTGTTTGGGGAGAGCTTGTTGAAAGAAAATGCTACTGCAGAATGTTTTGGTCTCGTGCGTGGTAATTGAAAGGAAGAATGGCCTGAGTATGGTTCCAAGAGGAGTTGGGCTTGGGCCCATGCACTTGTAGCTTCCTTTCAAATTCTAGGGCGAGGCTTATGACTTTGTAAGCTCATTGTGGCTCGTGGATTCTAATGTTTGAGCACAACTCTTCTCGCAAGCCATTGAGGAAGATGCCAAGCAAGTATTGCTCTGGCTAATGCTTGACTCTTGCTAATCTCTTAGCAAATTCTGCACAATACTCTTGTATTGAGTTTGTCTGTTTGATGCTGCATGAGAATTCATCAGGATTCTAGTACTCCAGTGGTTCGAAGTTTTCTTGCAGCAACTTCATGAGCTGCTTCTACTACAGATTCGTTCGCTTGTTGTTGACCCAAGCGAACAAATCCACTGCATCTCCTTCCAGAGACATTGAAGCTCTATCCACTTTTTGCTCTTTAGGTGTGTTGTAGTGCCTAAAGTCTTTTTCTGCCTCTAATATCCATCCTCGTGGGTCACCTCCACCGAATTTGCGAAATTCAATTTTGGTGTGAGTATTTTGCTACGTCTGTATTTTTCCAGTTCGTCTTTGCTTTCTTCTTTCCAATGAGAGTGCCTGTGATGGCTTGCCTTCAGCTTTTTATTGAGTGTAGAGGCCTCAAGCACTATTACGTTTTGCTTTTGCAAATCAAGAGTTTCAAGCTTTGAAGCGATGATGGCTAGTTGAGTTGATGCAAATGGGTTTTGATTTTTCGGAGGGTTGTTGGATTCATGACTAGAACGTGGTGTCACCATCTTGACCAGTCTATGATGCCAAATTGATAGGTGCTTAAACTGATAGAAAATAATGAGAAATATAAACTCTATTAAGATAATATAGAATAAGAATTTCGCTCTATAATTCTCTTAATAGTCATGCTAAGGAGAATTTCCAAAAAGTTCAAAATACTGTTTTATTCATGATATGCCTACTTCAAAGTTGCTAGGCATATTTATAAAGCTAAATACAAACTAAGATAACTTAATATCAGTCTAAAATCTAAATAACTCAATATCTAGAAAAATACCTGAATAAAATCCAAATAATGAAATATCTGAATAAAATCTCCTAAAGGAATTCAAAATTCAAATTAAATAATTAAAATATTAAAATAGACTCAATTCAACTTCTGTCGCTTCCTCCTCAAATACATCTATAATGATCTCTTATCAAACTTCAAATTAGATCTCTACATCTTAAAATTTGTGATGAGATCCTTCTAGTTTATCTTTTTAATTTGATCATTGAGAGAAAAACAGGCAATAAAACTATATTTATATTTTCTGACATGGCATACATTGCACATTAGCAGCCCAATCATATAGCTTAGCTTTTATATTCTGGCCATGTGCATCACTCGGCATTCTTGATTTTCCTCATCCACCAAATATGATCAAACTTCACCTAAAGCATGCTTTTTTTTTTTTGACTTCCTCAACTCCTTTGCGTAGCCAATAATGCCTTTCACGTAATTATTGTTATCAATCATTAATGCAAACATATACAAATATGCAGGCTCATGGAATCCTAATTAACTCTTTGTTCTCATATACCTTTAACAAAATTAGTTCTCAGCTCCTCTTACAAAATGATTGCAGGTGAATTGCAAACAAATGGAGGGAAACAGATTGTGTATCCCCCCACCCCCCCCCCCAAAAAAAAAAAAAAAAATCCAATTTCCATATTTGAAGACTACTAAGACAGCCTTCACCAATGCACAACCATAGTATTTTCTTTTTCAACATTAACAGAGCCTTATGCATGCATGCTTTTATGTGGCTTTTCTTGACCATTTTAATTTACGCATAGAGGCTTTGCTGTGAGTGTCCCAAACTATGATTTTTCAAAACTTTATTCCACAAACTTCACATCAGCTTTAGTTCAACTTTATCTGTGGGTGACGGCCATCTTCGTCTTATCATGAAAAGTTTTCATGTGAAAAACTTTCGTTTCGTGTGGGCATAATTTTTAAGCATTATTGATTTTTATGAAAACTGTGAATTCATTGAAAGTTTCAGAATTTTTTTATACTCTTTCTATTTACCTACTAATTTCTGAAACACTTTGATTTAAGTGGTAGAGAGAGGGAGGGAGGGGTATAGAGAGAAAATAGAGATAGAGAAGATTAAAAGAGATAGAAAGAAACTGAACTTTGAAACTGAATGCTTTGAACATAAGTTCTGATTAACATAATGCCTCTTTTATATATGGGTTTCTAGCCCTCTACTTCTAACGGCTATGACTTGCATATCCTACAGCTAACATATTCTTTTATCGAGTGCAAGTTATACATCACACTTGGCCAATTCATACAATCTCCCACTTTATTAAAGTAAACGGATAACAGAGACAACAATTGGCTCTAATGTTACGAGAATTTTGCATTGCCTATCAAAAGAAGATCAATAATTGAACATTATAGAGATATAGATCATTTTGTGCCTGTATCGAAATTTTCCACCACTTTAACCTAATATTACTAGTGGAATACAGAGTATATAGAACTAACGTTATTGAAATTCAAGTTTCTTCAGACTAGGATGGTTAAACTTTCATACTAGAAACATTATGAACTAGCATATGATGCTTATGAAGGCAGGGTTTGATGTTTGACCGCTTCCAATTATATGGCTTATATAGCTTGAATTATCTGTATTATATTGTTCTTTGCTTATGGGGATCAATTCAAAATATTTCAAACCACTTGAATTTAGTTACGCAAGTTTAAAGCCAAATCAAAGATTGAGTAAATGTATGGGGATAAATAATTCTTTAACCTAGTACTTTTCTTCGTAGAAATACTTTGACATGCATACACGGAGTTCCTAATACTGTGGAATCATATTTGAGTATATTCCAATATTTTCTTAAACAATTATATTACCTTGCATCAAAAGAATTTATGCGTTGCACAAAAACCCGGCCTTATCTATTTAATATTTACCACAATTTCAGGATGCTGGTGTCACTATTTTGGGAACAGTTCCAAGCTTGGTTAAAACTTGGAAGAATACAAATTGTATGAAAGGCTTAGATTGGACAAAGATAAGGTAATTCTCATGGCAGTTTAATTAACAAGTAACTAATAAGATAAATTAACTATTATGCGATTTTACGCAGAACATTTTTGTTCCACTGGAGAAACTTCAAATGTTGATGATGACCTTTGGCTTTCCTCAAAATCCTATTACAATCCAATCATTGAATGTTGTGGTGGAACTGAGCTTGCGTCTTGTTACATCATTGGAAGCCAACTTCAGCCTCAAACTTTTGGAGCATTTAGCACAGCATCAATGACAGCTGGCTTTGTTATCCTAGACGAGCATGGAGTTCCTTATGTAAAAACATTTTCTGAGTAGCCAGCTTCTTTCTTTCTTCTATGTTTTTTCTTTTGTGGTTGTTATTTATTAACATTAGCTTCTATCAACATATGCTAATATGGCAATACCATGTAGTTACTGCAGTTTTAAAGAATTTACTTGAATCCGGAAATCAAATTTTGGACCAATGATGATTAACTAAAAGCACAGACCTCAAACCCTTGGGATCTGCTACTTGAACTCTAATGGAAATTAATCAGTGTTCTCTGAACCTATTTTCTTATGCTTTTGACTTCTGTAAAGGTCTAGCTATTTGTCAACTACTTTGCAACTAATTCCTTCTTGTTAGATCTTGGATCTGCTGTTGCACTTGTCAGTTGAACATTCGTACTTTCCCTAATTGGATACATCTCCATCACCATTTCTTCATTTTAGCAATCCCAATTAAAGTGCATACATGTTCTAATTTGGCATCGTATTATCTGTTTGACTGATATGACAGCCAGATGATGTGCTTGTGTTGGTGAAGTGGGTCTATTCCCTCAGTATCTTGGAGCAACTGATAGATTGCTTAATGCTGATCATGAAGATGTTTACTTTAAGGGGATGCCCATTTATAATGGAAAGGTAATGGCTTACTTATATTGATTTGCTTAATACCAATATCGTAGATAATTTTGAGGTTCTTCACAGAACTGTCATATTAAAATAAGTGGACTTAACTGTTTGGCTGCAGTTCCTTGTCGAGTAGGACATGCTTATGTGGCAGTAGATGTAGAGATCAAACTAGTTTGAGGCAGTGTAAAAGTAAACAAATTGCTTCACTCTGAATTTTGGATGTTTTAATAATTAGCTATCAAAATGCGTGTCAATAGTAAACTTATGCTGGCTACAAAAATTTGCAAGTACTGACTTTCCAACAATTCTAGTTTTGTAAATTATGTAATGTTTGCATAGATGCCATTGTAATTTTAGATGTTTTACTCATTCTATTAATATCAATTTGATTTTCTGTTTCAAGTGATGAATTCATCCATAAACAGTTAAGCCTAACTTGATATATATATTAGCAGCGCCTTAGGAGACATGGAGATATGACTTTTTCACGTATGTGCTCATTTCGAATTTTATCTTTAGTGTATGTCCGCACATCCATCGTAACATTCTCATCTCTGCTACTCCCACCTTTATGCTCTTGCTGTCCCGTTAGAGAGCCAGCATTCACTACTATATAACATTGCCGGTCTGATAGGCAGTACGATAAAACTTTCCTTTAAGTTTATTAGGCACCTTACGGTCACAAATAACTCCTTTAGCTTTTCTCCAATTAAACCACCCAGCTTGAATTCTATGTTGAAATATCTCCACTGATTTCGCATCATTTTGAATAATGGCTCCCAAATATCTAAACTTTTCCACTTGAGGTATAATTTGATCTCCCAATTTCACTTCCAAATTATTTTCGAATAGTCCTTTACCAAATTTACAATATAAATATTCCGTCTTACTTCTACTCAGACGAAAACCTTTCGACTCCAATGTCCTCCTCCATAACTCAAGTTTGCAATTAACCTCTTTTCTTGTCTCTGCTATAAGAACTATATCATCTGCGAAGAGCATACATTTCGGGATTTTCTGTTGAATATGTTCCGTCAAAACATTTAAAATCAAGTTGAACAAATAAGGACTCAGAGATGATCCCTGATGTAGTCCAATCTTTATAGGAAAATTCTTTGTTTGACCACTAGGCGTTCTTATACTAGTTTTTACCCCCTCATACATATCTTGTATGGCTTTAATATAAGCAATCCGTACTCCCTTTTTTCCAACGCTTTCCAAAGCACTTCTCAAATAGCCTTCATTCATGAAAGAAAATGGGAATAACGTTCCCATTGTTCAAAACTGAGTGAGGAATTTATAACACTTGAGAACCCAAATTTTATTGCTTTTCAGGACCCAGACTTCCTCCTTATCATATTCTAGTAAGGCCTCATTCTACAATTGGGCTTACATTGGGTTTGATGCACCAAGGGCAGATAACCCAACACTTCAAAATCAATCATGCATTTTTCAGTAACTTCTTGCATTCATATGATCATGGCTCTTAATTTGGCATTCCAGGACTTGCTTTCTTCATAATTTGAATTTGACTTCTGATATGCAGACAAGTTCTGTAGAAATTGAGCGTGTCTGTGACCGGGCTGATGAATGCATTTTGGAGACTGCTGCAATCAGCGTCGCACCAGCTAGTGGCGGTCCAGAACAACTGGTTATATTTGTGGTTTTGAAGAAAGGATTCAACTCTGATGCAGAAACCATAAAGATGAAGTTCTCTAAAGCCATTCAAAGGAATCTTAATCCTTTGTTTAAGGTGACACTTCACTGAATTTAAATTTTACTAATTCCAAGTATATTACTTTGTGAACCATTAGAACATCTGTCATGAGTATTTACTTGAGTGGCTCTCCCTCCTCATAGGCTAATCCTTTGTGATTGGCTCTTTTTTTGGACTTGCGTTCATGACATTGGTGCTTTCATTGAGAGGCCAGTGCTATAGAGAGGGTTACCCACAGAGAATTCTGATCAGAAGGAGGTTGAGTAAAGTGTCGTAGAGTGGATATTGATCAGGGTGGCATTGTCATGAATCGCATATCGGGAAACCTTACAAGTGGAGTGGGGTTTATAAGTTCAAGAGGCTTTCCCACTTTATAAACTGGTTTTTTGGGAGGAGCCCTCTTTTTGGACAACATCTTTTATTGCACTTACTGAATTTAAATTTTACAAATTCGAAGTATATTAGGTAGTGAACCATTAGAAATGTAGGTCCGTGGGACTGAGCCTTCTGGCATCAGAAAAACTTTTTTTTTTTTGAAATCTGAAGCTGACGCACGTTAATTTGATGTTCACAACTCTACATTACAGGTAAGCCTTGTTAGAATTGTCCAGGAGTTTCCTCGAACAGCTTCCAACAAAATACTAAGGAGAGTTCTGAGGGATCAAATGAAGCGTGAGCTATCAGTTCAAAGTAGACTCTAGTCATCTTAATTCTCACGCAAAGCCATCGTGTGATTATAGTGTTTCTATAGCATTGGAGTAATGGTGTACTGGACTTTGCCCTTTGCTTAAACAATATTTATGTTTGTTTACAATTTGGTCCAATAAACCTCAGTTCTTTGTATGAACGATTTCCTATTTAATTCATGTGATTTATCTGTTAGTTAAACAGTTTAACTTTTTCTTCTTCAGTTGGCAAACGTTTACGTTTGCAGGTGTGACTCAAACTCGCGATATAAGTATCACAAGAATGCCAAGGTGCCAACTGAACCAAGAAACTTCAACGGACATCGTAATGTGCCTTGTTTAAGGTAATTACCAAACAAACTGTATATATTAGGATAAGCTATTAACTCATAAACTAGAAAACAAAGACATCAACATGGACATCACTAACCACAAAATCTAGAATGTTAGGGCCAGTTGGATTATGCTTTCATTTTTTTTGTTTTTAAAAATTGTTTTATAATACAATTTCAAAGCCATTTATCAAAACAAAATAAAAAAAAGATCTAGTTGATTGTGTTAATTTAAAAATAATTTTAGAATAAAAAATAAAAATAATTTTAGAAGAAAAAATTAGCTGATAGTGATGGTTGCTAATAATTAATGATAGTTGTGTATGATAGTGATTGGTTTAGTTGACTGTTGTTTTTAATTATCAAAGGTAATGGGTTTCGAAAACATGAAAAATAAAACAAAAATAAGGGTGTTTGGCTCAAGGATGGAGAAGGGGAGGGGAGTGTTTTGATATTACTTTGGTTTTATTAGAGGAGAGGAGAGGAGGGGAGGGGAGTGTTTTGATGTTATTTTAGTTTTATTAGAGGGAAGGGTAGGCAGATGGTTTTTCATGATTCTTGTTTGGGTTAAAGACTAGTTTTTCCTTGAACTTTTTCCCCCCTTTTAAAAACCTGGGCATCCAATACTAATAATTGAGACAATTTCTCCCTAAGTTGTTTTTACTGAGTAGCAAAAAACTATTTGATGTTACATTGGTTTTATTAGAGGGGAGAGGAGGGGTGGCAAATGGTTTTTCATGATTCTTGTTTGGGTTAAAGACTAGCTTTTCCCCTGAACATTTTGTGTTTTTTTTTTTTTTTTAAGAAATGTTGGACAGCTTATGCTAATAAGTAAAACAATTTCTCTCTAAACTATTTTTTCGAGTAGGAAAAAACTCCTTTAGTCAAAAAGCCATCTATTTTCCCGCAAAGCTGTCTATTTCCCCATTATCTACATACATGTATTACTTGTGGGTCCTATTACCATCTGGCATGATTTATTATTGTAGTGTTAAAGTATTAATTTGCCCTTGAACGTTTTTACCTAAAGCACTGGACTCCCTGAGATCTTTTTAAAATATTAATTTTTTAATATTTAATAATTTAAATAATATTATTAATACATATACATTCAAATTTATACATTACCTTTTAAATATTAATAGATCAGCTTGTTTTTCAGAAATTTATAAACGGTTTTTAAAATTAGAATAATATGTTAAATTATAACTCTTTCTCCAAAATTAACAAATCTTCCTCCAAAAATTTATATATTTTAAATGTTGACTTGTAAATTGTGATTCTTGCGGAGAGCACTGCATATTAGTGAAATTCTATGTTCTAAATTCTATGTTGAGGAGGATAGCACTGCATCATGCCTCTAGGGTTCCTCAAGCACTGATGGTGGGGCGAACTCTCTGGTCAGACCAACCTTGAGGAGCCAATTCCATTACCATCTCAGCAAACAGTGGTTGAGATTCCAGGACTAGATGACCTGACTATTTCCCAGTTCATACAGCCTACTACCACACGTGCAAAGACGAACATAGCTAATGTAAAACGGGAAGGAGAAGAGGAGAAAAGAGAGGGGAAAGGAGAAGGGAGAGAGAAAGGGAGGGAGGAGGTTGGGAGAACAAGAACTCTTATTATTCAATACTCATAACTTGATGCAAATGAAAACTCCTAGCTTTATTTATAGAACCTGAAAATAATAAAATAATAAAAATTTAAATTTAAATCTCAAATCTCAAATCTAAATATAATATTAAATATATTGATATCTAAGATAATAATAAAATAAATAATCAAAATTGATTCTATTGGATAAATATCTTTATTTAAATATTGTACCTAAAGCTAGTTTGAGAATGATTGGATCTTCTTAATTATATTTAAATCCTTTGAACAACAATCGTCTTTAGTTATTGGAAGAATGATAGATAGGGCCCAAGGGATCAATTAATTTAACTTAGATTCTAAGTGCCAAATTTTAGAAATTTACAAGTTTAGTTCTTAAATTTATAACTTTATGTGATGGATTTGTAATTTGTGTTTCAAATTTTAATAGGGAAAACAAAACTTATTTATTTTTCAATCATGTTAAAAATTAAAAAATTAGTTGCAAATTTATTACAATAAAATTACAAAATTGAGAATCGAACTTGCAAATTATTGGAGTTTAGTATTTAGGACTTAAGTTGAATTAATTGGTCATTTTGAAAACTTTATATCATTCTCTCTTAGTTATTTAAATGAGTATATACTAGAAGTTTAAGAGCTTGTTTGTTTTCTATTTTTAGAAGCTGTTTTTTGTTTTTGAAAACAAAAAACTTTAAAATTTGTTTGGATAAGTTTTTTCATTTACTTGTTCCCATAACTATTTTCATTTTTTTAAAAAATAAAAAATAGAAACAACTTAAAATTGTTTTCATTTTATTTTTCTTATTTTTAAAATACGCTACATTTGATTATTAAAAATTATAGTTACTTTGATCAATTTTTATTATTAATTACCACTATTGATGGCTTATAACTGTAACTATCAGTCCATTTTTTAATTTTAAAACTTTTTTTCAATTGATATAAACAAATAGATTTTCATTTTATTTTGTTTTCAAAAACAATTTTTAAAACTATATTATAAAACAGTTTTTAAAAATAAAAAATGAGAATAAAAACCAAACAAGCTCTAATATTCTTGACATAATTGGAGCATCTTGAAACCTTCTGAAAGAGCTTGGGATCCATAGTTCTCAATTTGATAACCAAACTTCTAGCATCAAATTAAAATAGAGTGAAAAGAAATTTGTACATTAAATGTTTCTTTCAGAGGTAAGCACAGAAACACAGGAAATAGGGGAGCTGGTAAGTATGACACTAATTTTTATTTTTAATATTTTCTTGCCTATGGAGAATCATGCACTGTAAATAGGGGAACCAACCTTTATTGTGAACTTGCAATGGATGATTCAGCAATTAAAACATGAAGGTTTTCTTTGCAAGTTATATGCTTTAAATAGAAAACATTTATAATAAGAACCTGAACAATATGAAACTGAGTTTTGACACAATAAGAAAAATTAAAAAAAGTACATGTATCTAAAAAAACTTGTGCATGAAGGCCAAAGCTACTATACATTTAATTAGGCGTTTATTGGTTAATTATATGATCCAATGAGGTGCTTTCATTTTCTGATATTCATATTCTTTTTATTGAATATAATTAGACACGTTTTCTCTTTCATTAGATAGAGTTTGGAGTAAGTCAAATTATTTTATAGGATTACTATAGGAGTGAAGTGGGTTAGTGAGATTTGGAGTTTCATTTTTCTTTTTTCCTTTTTGTTGACCAATAGGGAACCTTCACGTGCCTTCTTTCGGGGTAGTATGTTATATTGTAATTTTTTTTGGCTAGTGTTGTTCTTTGCTCAATTAAATGAAGCAGAACTCAAATGAAAAGCATAATGGCCATTCAACAATTTGTGAACAGAATAGAGTCAAACAGCAGAAATCATGAAATGTGGAAAATACTAAATATTCATAACTTCAATTGAGAAAAAACAAAAGGAAAAAGAAGAAGAAACATGGTCAAAGTGAAAGAAAATGGCGGAAATGAACGAGAAAAGGTGAAGTTGAGAAAATCTGTACCAATAACGGAGATTGAAAATTTTGAGAGAAAAGATGAGGAACACAGGCGCATGAGATGTGTGGCTGTCAGTAGCGGTGCTAGGACAAAAGTCAGCAGAGGCAAGTTTTTATTTTATTTTTTTAGAGAAGAGTTGTGCACATAATTATATGTAGTTATACATATTAATATTAAAATTATATAAAAATTAATATATTTGTAAAAATATTTAAATTATGCGAAGGAAATATATGTATGAAATTAAATCAATTATATACTTTCATTTTTATTGAAAATTTTATAAATTAATATTGTAAAAATTTTTGATTAATAAGCCTTAAATAATTATTATTACTTACTTAACATCGAGCAAATCTCAAGCATTTGGTTGTAGTTTAAAATGAGTATGTACATGATCTTGATATCAATGTTCTTTTATCAAGTTATTTTATTTTCTATTCAAATTCAAAATGTAAAAATTTAAAAAACCATTGACCCTAAATCATGTTTAATTAATTAGAAATATATAATGTCACACATCATGCATTTAAAATCATATCTTAAAAAACATATCTACACACACAAAACAACACATGTTTCTATCTTTCAAAATCTTTTTAATATATAAAATAAAAATATAAAACAATAACACAAGTTTCTATCTCTCAAAATCTTTTTAATATATAAAATAAAAATATAAGACAATAACATCATTACTGTGATATACTTTCTCCATTTTTATATATAAGTTGTTTTTAATCAAATCTCACATACCAACAAAGATTTATTGTTTAGTTAAAATCATATAAAATTGTAATAATTTTCTAGTTTTGCTCCTAATAATTTCACAATTAATATCATGATAGTAGGAGTGAAAATACACAATTAATGATCTATTTATTTTTTAAAATTAGAATTGTTTAATCATTTAAAATATTATTGACATTCCTTACATTTAGAAATAAAATAAGTTTTTAGAACATATTTTATATATAGAGATGGAGGGTATATATTTTTGTTTTGTTTTTGGGGCCGCTGCTTGATTGAAATCCCTATCCTAATTAAATTTCTAACCCAATCTCAACGTGTCACTCACACACCCACGTTGCTCCTCTCTCAATTCTTTAATTTGCCACCTGTGTTGGTGGGGGGCTGGGGGCATGCCGAAGTACGAGGTGGGTCATAATGTAAATCAGGTTAAAATATTTAGAGTTTTTAAGACCTGTTTGGTTTTCTTATGTTTTATATTTAAAAAGTAAA